GGTGGCTGCGATGAGCATCACCGACTCGCTGTAACTCATTAGCATTGACAACGGAGAGTTACAGCTGTAATTAAAATCTACATTAAAGCCAAACAAACCTTTGGCCCATTTCTTGGGGTGCTCGGGGGGCTTTCGCTTCCATTAAGACATAAGGATTTTCATCAAATATTTAAATAGGTTTGCAAAGGACCATCCAGTCCAGGTGTCCCTTTATTGTTAATAGAGAAAACTGGGAAAGTTCTTGGGTTTTGCTTCAGTTATTATAAATGTGAGACAAAGCCCTCCCTTACGCTGCTCGAAGAAGCATCTGTTACGAGCATTGATCCATTAGGTGCACTAGCTAAACAGGAATAAATAAAAAAGTCCTTTTTTTCCCCTGGATGTGTTTGTTAGATGTTGAAGGGTGTCTCAAACCTCCTTCCTCCTCGCCCCACAGCTTCCAGCTTCGCGTTTTACCCCCGAAGCACCAACACTTGGCATCTAGGGAAGCATCAGCTCCACACACACCGCTCCGAGAGCTTTTCTTCCAGCACCGTCTCAGCCAGCAGCATAAAGAGGTCACCAACCCCACGACTGCTCACGGACAACGCCATTACGAGACCGAACGAATCCTCCCCGTGCAAAACCTTTCCCCCGGCTGCCGGGGAGCCGCGGCCAAAGCCATAGGGAAGGGCCAAGGTCACCGACAGCCGCCTGCAGCCCACACCGGGTCGGGCCCCGCCTGTCAGGGCTGCGGGGGTCGCCCCTCAAGGCCCGGACCCCCCCTCCCCCGGCTGCTGACCGCCACAGAGGCGGAGGTTTGAACACCGGCTGTAGGCCCGGCCCTACCCGGGGAGCGACGGGGTAGGGCCTGCCGCGCCCACCACCGGCTCCCTCCGCGTTTCAGACTGTAAAAGCCCGTGTAAAACAGCCGGAGCCTCCCGCCGCCGGGGGAAAGACCGCCCCGAGCCCCCTGCCCACCGTCCCGTACCTCCCCATGACCCGCGGGCGGACCGAGGCCCCGCCGCCGGCTGCGCTCCCTCCGCCGCGCACCTCGAGCCCTTCCGGGGGCACCACCCACCGCCACCCGGAAACACTTCTCAGCACCACCAATCAAGAGAGAGCTTGACGCGCTCGCCAAAGGCGCCCTCCTCCTCCGCGGTGAAGGCGCGGCGGGGAGACGCCCCAGCATGCCCCGCGCGATTTGCATATGGATTGAGGGCCAGCGAGGCGGGGAAACGGTGTTTTTGAGGGGGAAAAAAGCAGAAATAGCGTAAAAATAGGGTGAAGTAAAGGGAGAAAGATAAGAAGTAATAGCAGCATGGGCACTGCCCTTAGGGAAGAATGCGTTCCTCGCCATGATCTCGATAGTACTCTAGCGATTTCCGGTGCTGGCGGGCGGAAAGCGCAGCTTTAAAAAGGGCTTCTGCCGTGCGTGGCACGGGGGGGCCATGCGGCCGCCCTCGCGGAATCGACATCAAGAGATTTCGGAAGCACAATTTTTGTAATGGGGGTCGCCGGTAACCGCTTGTTCCGGCGCCCCGAGCACGGTCAATGGTAAAAGGCAAGAGAGGGGGCGTGGCTATGGCTAAAGGGTGTGGTGCTGTAGTGGGCGGGGCCAGTTGCATCCCTC